GCCCCCTGGCCCAGCCGGGGCTGCGGTTCCAGGCCCGGGGGATATGGCGGGTTCTCCCTCTGTGGAGTCTCAAAGTCAAGCGCTCTAAAGCTTCGGTTCCTCAGTTTTGGTTGGTTGGTTTTTGTTTTTCTCAACCAATTTTTTCCCTGCCACATTTGGTATTTTTGGGAAAGTATCTGGCAACCCTGCTCCATGCGGGGCGAGAGGAGACGTCACGCGCTCCCTGCCCCAAAGCCCTGATTGGCCGGGGGGAAGCAGGAGAAGCCTCTTCCCGCCCTGCCAGGGGCATGGCTGCCTAATGGGAAGTGGGGGCAAAGGGGCTCCCAGGAGTGGTCTGGGGGTGGGGTAGCCCAGAAGCACCCTGGCCCCTCCTCTTCCAGTTTAGGCCCTGGCCAAAAATTATTGCCCAGCCCTGATGGGTCTCTCCTCCCCCATGGCCCGACCCCTGCTGCGGGCAGAGCTGCAGAGCGCTGCGCGGTCCAGGGGGGGGTGGAGCCCGCGGGGGGGGGGGCCGTCCCTCCGAGCCTCTCCCTGGGGTGGGCAGAAGCAAGGGCCCAGTCCCGGGTCTGTCTCATGTCTGGAAACCTGATGCAAAGATCCCTCCGCAGAGGAGCAAGACGCTGGCCCTGTCTAGACCCAGCACGAGAGCCCTGCTGGGCTTGGCTCTACCCACCATCCTGCCCCTGCCCTGGGTGGTGCCTGGCTGCTTACGGCTGATTGCAGCCTCCGGCGGGCGGGCGGAGCTGCCATCCCGCTGGGCACGAGCTGCTGCTGCCGCACGCGCAGAGAGCTCTCCAGCAGGCCTGCTCGCGCTGCCTTGGTGGGAAATCCCTCGCAGGGCTCTGCCTCCGTCCCCTGCCGGTCGCGGGCAGCGCTAAGTCCTGGCCCCACAGCCGCCTCTGGGAGGGCGGGGCCGTTCCCTTCCCGCCCGGGGAGGCTGCCAGAGCCCGGTGCTTCGTGTCCGCCCGGTACCTGGTGCCCCCTCTTGCGCGTGCTTCTTTCGCAGCTGGGCAGCCCCTCCGGAGAGAGGGTTAAAACCGGGGGCACAGAATTGCCAGCCCCTGCCCCCGGCGCCAGGGTGGTGGAATGGGGGGTCTGTCCGCTCTGCTCTGTTGCATGCGACGTCGACTGTCCTGTGGTAACCGTGTGGGTGTGACTCAGTTTCCCTGGGCACTGCACCAATAGCTGGAGATGCGGGTGGGAATTTCGGAGTGACTCACTGCGGGAGGCTGCCCCAGTCCCAGAATGTGCACATTGGCCTGAGCCTGGGGGGTGACCAGGTGGCCCCTTCTGCCCGGTCCGCTCTGCTCTGTTGCATGCGACGTCGACTGTCCTGTGGTAACCGTGTGGGTGTGACTCAGTTTCCCTGGGCACTGCACCAATAGCTGGAGATGCGGGTGGGAATTTCGGAGTGACTCACTGCGGGAGGCTGCCCCAGTCCCAGAATGTGCACATTGGCCTGAGCCTGGGGGGTGACCAGGTGGCCCCTTCTGCCCGGGAAGCTGCACAGAGGAGGGGGTGGGGCT